CTCTCTCTGCCCCTCCCCCGTTCATGCTCTGTCTCTCTCTGTCCCAAAAATAAATAAACAACGTTGAAAAAAAAAATTTAAAAAACATTACTGCCAATTGCTATTAGAGGTGTGGGGACATGGGCACTCTGAATCAGAAGAGAGCTGAACACTGTGGCCAACCGCTTCAAAAACAGTGTAGCATTAGGTATCAAAATGTAAGGGTGCCGGGCTGTCTGGGTAGAGCATGGGACTCCTGATTTTGGGATGTGAGTTCCAGCTCCTTGTTGGGCGTAGAGGTTGCTTTAAAAAAAAAAAAAAAAAAAAAAAAAAAAAAGGCGAAATGTACATGCTCTTTGGTACAGCATTCACACCAGTAAGGAATGCGTGGATGTGCGTTATGTGTTCCAGGCAGCATAGGGTCCATGATACACAGTCCCCAAGGTTCCCACCCAGATGCTGTTCTTTGTTCCCCAGGGGCTGCACAGACATCATTTGCTGTGTGTTCCTCCTCCTGGCCATTGTGGGCTATGTGGCCGTAGGCATCATAGGTGAGTGGAGGAGGGCACAGGGTTGGGGTTCCAAGGTGGGGGGGCGGGCAAGCCACAGCCTCTAGGGCAGGAATGGGGATGATGCTCAGGGATGGCCGTGCCTCAGTGTCCCTGGATCCCTCCACAGCCTGGACCCATGGGGACCCTCGAAAGGTGATCTACCCCACCGATAGCCGAGGCGAGTTCTGCGGGCAGAAGGGCACAAAAAATGCGTGAGTGTGGTTCCTTGGGGCCTGGTGGGACTGGGGATGCATGGGCGGGAAGGCTTCATGAGCACGGGGGAGAAGGTTCTAGGCTTCCCCCACCTCCATCCATCCATTAGTTTAGTCAACAAGTATTTCTAAAGCTCCCACTTTCTCCAGCTACTATTCTAGGCCTGGAGGACACAGCACTAAGTGAGACATTAAGAGTCTTGTGTGGTCGCTCACACTTTAGGCGAGGGACAGAGAGGAGACAGTCCTGGATCTGGTGTCACATGGTGATGAACAGATGAGCCAAAAGCGAGTTCAGTCCAGGCTGTGCCACTCCCTGGCTGTGTCACCCAGGGCGAGTGTCTCAACCTCTCTGGGCCTCATTTTCCTCAGCTCTGAAATGGGGACGATAACAGGCTGTTGTGATGGTTAGATGGGCCAAAAGGCAGAGCTTAGAACGGCGCCTGGTGTGGAGTGGCCGCTGCTAAGGTTGTGGTTTTCATGAGGCATTTTATATGCCATCGTGACAGTTTCCATCTCCCTTCCCCAACCCCAGGAACAAACCCTACCTGTTTTATTTCAACATTGTGAAGTGTGCCAGCCCCCTGGTCCTACTGGAATTCCAGTGCCCCACCCCCCAGGTAATGTGGCCTCTCCCCATCTTCTTTGCTGTCCCTGCTTTCTGTCACCGGAGCCTCTTCTCCCTATAGCGACAGCTTCTCTCTCTCAGCCCCTTCTTTTCTCTGGTAAATGGGAAGTGGGACCTCTGTCCTGAGTGGGGATCGGGTGTCTGTCTTGATCCCACCCAACCCCTGCCTCCTGCCCCCCCAAGATCTGCGTGGAGAAATGTCCCGACCGTTACCTCACCTACCTGAACGCTCACAGATCCCAGGACTTTGAATACTACAAGCAGTTCTGCGTGCCTGGCTTCCAGGGCAACAAGGTGAGGGGAGCCCAGGTGGGGGCAGGGGGCAGAGTGCTGGCCTGGGGCTTTAACCGCCCCCCCCCCTTCTTGTCAGGGTGTGGCTGAAGTGCTTCGGGATGGCGACTGCCCTGCTGTCCTCATCCCCAGCAAGCCCTGTGAGTCTGGGGTTCCATAAGCTTGGGTGGGCCTGGGAGAGGTTCCGGGGGCTCAGCCTGACTGGTCCCTTTCCCTGCTCCATGCAGTGGCCCGGCGATGCTTCCCAGCCATCCACGCCCACAAGGGGGTCCTCATGGTGGGCAATGAGACAACCTATGAGGACGGGCACGGCTCTCGAAAAAACATCACAGAGCTGGTGGAGGGCGCCAAGTGAGGACCGCCGCCGCCCATCACAGCGGTGTCCCCCTTTCCCGGGTGGGACGGGGCATCCCCTGGGGCTGGCCCGATCAGGGAGGGGCTCTGACACCAGCCTTGTTTGCCCTTCCCCAGAAAGGCCAATGGGGTCCTGGAGGCGCGGCAGCTGGCCATGCGGATATTTGAAGATTACACAGTTTCCTGGTACTGGATCGTCATGTAAGTCGGGAGGGAAGGTGGCCCTTCCTGTCTGTGTGTCCTGGGGCTGGTGAGACGATCGCTGTGCTCATGCCCCCATTTTATCCCCAGAGGCCTGGTCATCGCCATGGTGATGAGCCTCCTGTTCATTGTCCTCCTCCGCTTCCTGGCTGGCATTATGGTCTGGGTGATGATCATCATGGTGATTCTGGTGCTGGGCTACGGTGCGTCCCCCCTCCCGGCACCCTCCCCACCCCCCAGTCTGCAAAATGCCTGTACCCTTTGACCCGACAGTGGCCGGCAAGAATCTTGTCCTGAGCCGTGAGACATTCTCCATTCTTCTACTTGGTGTGTTTGTGAAGATGTTCATCTCGGTGTTGTTTATGGGAGCAGGCGCTTGGAAACAACCTCAGTGTTTATCGATGGGGGGATGGGTTAACTCGTAGCCTTCCAGGCTGGGACCTGGAGCTGTATTTTATCTACATCAAAAAGCATTCTCAAGCAGACTACTTAACACAGTGATTAAAGATGCGAGCTCTGGCACCAGACAGCTGGGCATTAAATTCTGGCCTTGCCAATTCCTTCCTCCGTGACCGTGGGCAAGTGACTCACCCTCCCCGTGCCTCAATTTCTTCCTCTATAAAGTGAGGATAATTAGTATTTACTAGTTAGGAGGCTTAATGAGAAAAAGTGTTCAGATGAGATGGGGGGGGTGGGGGGGCTGCAGATTTCAGGCCCGTGGAACCCAGAGGTCATGCTCAGAATTCAGTGGTTTGTATTTTGATTATTTAGACAAACTTTCCAGGGGAAAGATGCCTGATAGGCAATCCAGTGTGAGGATACAGATATTAAAACACTCACGTTAATCACTGGTTTCTGGCTGGGTGCTGGCATCTTAGGCAAATTTTTTTTTTAAATTTTTTGAATTTGTTTTTGAGACAGAGAGAGACACAGCATGAGCAGGGGAGGGGCAGAGAGAGAGGGAGACACAGAATCCGAAACAGGCTCCAGGCTCCGAGCTGTCAGTACAGAGCCCGACACGGGGCTCGAACTCACAGACCGTGAGATCATGACCTGGCCCGAAGTTGGACGCTTAACCTAGTCACCCAGGCGCCCCCA